TACTAGGATTACAGACATGAGCCACCAGGCCTGGCCTAGGACTATCCTAGTTTTACTACTCAAAGTCTCATGTCCCAGGAAGCTCCTCAGCCTGGAGAAAACCCCAGTCCAGGGCAAACCAAAATGGTTGGTCACCCTAACTTGGAAGCAGACAGCCTGGTTCCCAGCTCTGCCACTTAGTCAGTAGCTACAGGACCATGAGAGTCATTCTACCTCTATGGGCATCCGTTTTCTCACCCGTACATGAGGTTGTCATGGGTGCCTCAAAAGATTATAGAAGTTGTTATATGTCAAGAGATCTAGTACAATGTGCATGAAGTAAAAGCTTGAAATCCTGATAAATAGGAGCTGTAGTTAAAAATATTGATAAATAAAACATAAAATTTTAGCAAACAATCTAATGGCACATTAAAAAATATTATACATGATGACTATTTAGGGATCTCCAAGATCACCACATATTCAATGGTTTTCTAGAATGACTCAGGGGACTCCACACATAGTTGTACTCACAGTTAAGGTGTATAAAAGATGTAAAAGAACTCAGAAGACAAAGGGGAATCTTCAGAAGCATTGCTGGAAGTATGGATTGGCTTATACTTTAACATATTTGTGTATTAGTTTGCTAGGGCTGCCATGACAATGTGCCATAAACAAGGCGGCTTACACAGAAATATACTGTCTCAGTTCTGGACGCTAGAAGTCCACCAGGGCTGGCAGGTTTGGATCCTTCTGAGGGCCGTGAGGGAAAGAGCTGCTCCAGGCCTCTCTTGTTGGCTTGCAGATGGCTGTCTTCAAGTTCAGCCACCTACAAGCTGAACATGGTGTTCTCCCTGTAAGTCTGTGTCCAAATTTCACCTTCTTATGAGGACATCGGTAGTCATACTGGATTAGGGCCCACCGTGGGGACTTCAGTTGAACTTGTTACCTCTATACAGACCCTATCTCCAAATAAGGTCACATTCTGAGGTACTAGGGGTTAGTACTTAGACATATACAATTTGAAGGACACAATTCAATCCATAGCAACTTAGAAAAATATAAGAGAAGATCAGATTTTTTAATAACTTATTGGAGGACTGTTTCTTTGCACACAATTTTGTATACATAGTAGCCCAGGAATATCTGAGTTATAGAGTTAGTATAGATAGAACAGATGAGCATAGTGAGAGTATAGACGGGGGAAAGGGTCAGGAAGAAGAGGAGTAAGAAAAAAAGGGGAAAAGAAAAAGAAAACAGGACAGTAATACACGAGGTCAGACCAAGCCTGGACCAGGTTCAGAGACTGGTGAGAATGCTAACTCACCCCTCACCTAAGTTTGCTTTAATTTTGGTTTATTAACAAACTCACAAACAAGTAGTGTCAGGGATGTACACAGCATTAATATTATACAAATGTTTCATGGCTCCCTGAGAAGGTTATCAGGGACCAGTATGTCCCACAGAGGTGTACCCCACATCTGGTGCATCTAGCAGCTCTCACGTGGTGGGGAACCTGAGTAGAGGAGCACAGAGCCATGACTGCCTCTTACCCCAACTGCCATGGTGGTGGGGGAAGGGTGGATGCCACACCGGGATCTACTGGGCCACCAGTAAGGAAATGCTTGTCCAGCATGGTCATTACATTACAAGCCCAGTGACCAGCCCCACCTTGTGATTACTGTTTTGGATTCCTGCTTCAGAGTGGAGACTCCCAGTGGGTGCTGTCAATCTGCTGTGTAGCAGTAGCAGCGGACTCCCTCCAGGAGATCCTGATGCATGCTGAAGTTTGAGAACGCTGATCTAAGCTGTAGGCTGCTCTAAAGTCTACCACCCAAAACGACTTAGATAGAGACTTAGAAGAATGAGCTCCTGTTTTCTTACTGGCAACTATATTATTAAGTAGAATAGGTAAGACAATAGGGACATGCAACTACATGACTTAGTATCTACACTATCTGTGACCAGAGTCAATGGGAAGAAAAACAAATATTAGTATATATGTTTGCAAGATTAATTTAAGCCTTTTGTATGTAATTCAAATTCTTCCCCTCACATCATTTGCTTTCTGGAGCATAAACTTCTAGACCTTTCCTTAATATGGAGCAATCCACACTATGTATGACTACACCTTTGATTCCTATTAAGTTCATTTGCATGTTTTATCTTATGTTAATGTCTTCAGCATGGAAGAAACCCAGTTGCCAGAGTAACTAGGAATAGCATTTAAATAGTTTAGCCTTTACTCAAACCTTAACCCTTGGTCAATTTCACTGTGTTCTTGGCTCACCTAACATGTGTGGTCATGAAAACCCAAACATTGCAGCTGCTTCTCCCTATTTCATCTCTCCATAAAGTCTCAAGAACCTGCTTTCTCCTAAAGTTACCAACATAACCCATTTTATTTTGACTAGCTAAACTTGCTGTCTTCACCTTTCCCTGCTGATGAACACTGCCTACTACTCAAAGCCCGCCACTCGGTCTGTCTTCTTCCAGAGCCCCTCCCCTGACAGCCGGTCAGCTGGCTTACGCACAGGCGAGACACAGGGCTCACAGAGCAGTACTGGGAAGAGGCCCTGGTTTAAAAGCAGAAAGGCTGGTTCTGGCCTCTGTTCTGCTACAGACTTGAACAATCTCAGGCAAGTCCCTTCCTCTCTCTGGGTCTGTCTCCTCTGTTGTACAATGGAGAGGACACAACAAACTCTCAGCCCTTCCAGGTAGGGCATCTCAGGATTCTCTGGTTTTCCTCTGTTGGACAAATGACCATACAGTACAGACTCCATGGGGGCAGTGCCAGTTTTATAATCCCTGGCACCACTGCCCACACACCATGAGAATGTCACTAGCTCTTAAACTGTGGTCCCAACTATCGATTTCACCAATGGCGGGGGACCTTAACAGGGCTCCTTGTCTGATTTTTCCATAATCACATAGCTATTTATAATTTGTAGCCCAAGGTGGGACTAGGATCCTAGCATCTGAAAGCCAGCCCATTCACTCAGATAAAGATATAATTTGTTAGGTTTCTGGAATTACTAGGGCTGAGGAAACAAAATCTAGATATACCTATTTTAAAAGAAATGAACACAAGGTGTGGTATATACATAATAATAAAATTATTTTTCGGCCTTAAAAAAAATTCTAACATATGGTGTAGCATGGATGAATCTTGAGGACATTAAGCTAAGTGAAATGAGCTAGTCACAAAAGGAAAAATACCATGTCATTCCACTTCTATGAGGCACATATTGCCAGGGGCTGGGAGAAGAGGAGTTATTGTTTAATGGGTATAAAGTTTCAGTTCTGCAATATGAAAAGAGTTCTGGGGGTGGATGATGGTGATGGTTGCACAACAACATGAATGTACTTAATATCACTGAATTATACACTTAAAAATGGTTAAGATTGTAAATTTAGTGATGTGTATTTTACCACAATGAAAATGGGGAAAAAAAGAAAGGAACAGCTTGAACACTAAGATTCTCAGCTACAGTATTAGCATTGTATCATCAGAGCCAAAAGCAGCTACATAATAGATGTACATCTTTATGCCCAACCCCCAGTTTTCCTTCTCTTCCTTCTGCTGAATGAAACATCTCCTTCTTCTGCCACAGAAAACTAGCTCAGAAAATTCAGTAGCTTTCAGCTATCAGTCTGTACTAGAGACCATGGCTAGGCAGATGGGTGCAGCAAAGAGAATGCACCCTTCACAACCCAACTGCTCCCTCATGTGGCTGCAGCATCTCCCCTAGAGAAAAACAGAAACCCCCACCCCCACCTCCCGGCAGGAACAGATTTCTTTTCCAATTAAAGGCATAACTTCTAGCTGTTATTGGTACTAGCAAACTGAATATCAGGGGGAAAAAAAAAATCTATCTTTAATTTCTTCCAAATGAAATTGAGACATTTTCCCCTGCATTTCAAATATGAAGACACCTGTTTCATGCAATAAGCCATTCACAGAATCCAAAGAAACCAGTTTCTCATCAATTTTTTCCCATTAAAATGCCATTTGTTAGTATTTACAAGAGCACACTCACCAATATATTGCCTTAGGAAATCTTTTTTAAAGGTACATACTTTTATCATTTAAATTTGACACTTGAGACCTAAAACTACTTTACATCTAGGATTTTTTTAAAACACTTTAAGAAACCACTTAACTATTCAAAGAACTTTTCTGTAAATAGGCTTACTACATGAAAAATGCTTTTAAAATTATCTGTTTAATGTACCTCTTCATCAATTTATGATTTTGCTGGACAACTAGGGCATTTCACATGGATCACTCTTTCTCCAGAAATCTGGCTTGGAGTCCTAGGCTCCTGCAGTATGCTACCTTTGAGCAATTCTCCATATTTCCTAGGGCCTATCAGAAACTGAATGCTTATACCCAGTATAGCAGCATAAGCTTAGTGAAAACTTAAATTTTATTTTTGGTTGAAATTATATCAACTCAGTGTAGAAATGCTAGTATCTCACTCTGATTAGAAAGGTCTTTTCAAAATGAAAACAATTTTATTGGATAAATCCAAGTTATCAAATGAATTATTTTAAAATAGGTTCAACAATAAGAGATAAATGGATGGAAACTCTTGGTCTAGACTCGAAAAATTTAAAACTGGGAGAAAGAAGAGGCAGAATATTACCTATGGTTTTAAAGACTAGGAACAGAATGGGCAAACATTTCATCCAATATTTCTGGTGTGTCTGACTATCCCCCTGGGTGCCTGCTGCCTTTGGACACACATCTGCCTGATGGAGTCTCAGGCACACTCCTAGATAACTGCAGAATAACCAAAATGACAATCACCAGGACAGAAATACCTAGAAGAAAACAAGTCAATGCCAATTCCACCATCTTAGATTTGAATGACCGCATGGGCAAATAAGAAACTATCAATCCAACAACGAACATAATCACCATAAGACTTATTTTCTACACTATTAATATTTACTTGTCAATTTAAAGGCGAAAAGGCTAAAGGCCCTAGCAATGAGGCATAAGCAATCAGACTTGGTATAAATGAATTAAAAAGTTTATTAGCCATAGAAAAAAACCAATTCCTCAAAATCAGTTCTTCTTATGTCTCCTGTAAACAGTAAGCTTACAGAAAATTTCCTTCTCATGAACAGAAAATCACTATACTTTTGGTCCAAGATATGTTGGGTTTTTTCCTTCTTCTTCAAATGACAGATGGATGTAACTGAATCTATGAACGAGTGTACTTGCCCCAAATGTGCAACATAAATACAGAAGCGATGAACAGAAGACTCATAACCAATACTGGAACGGGGCCACTAGAAATAAGAAAAGAAAGCATGCTTACTGTTAGTAATAATATTACATTTTTAACACTAAAGATTTCCTAGGGAAAGGGCAGCGGGGTGAGGTGGGGGGGAGGAGCACTTAAGAGTCACCCAAGAACATCATTTTAAAATAGTCCCAAAATCATTATTGTAGATATTTTGAGGGTGTGACAATAGCATTGCAGTTATCTTTCAGTAAAACATACCAAAATATATACAAACAAAATGATCTGATGTCTAGAGACACTGGTCTAATTTCATATATTTGATATTTTCTAAAACCAAAAGAAGAAAAATGTCTAAAGCTCTTTAAGTATAAATGATCCAATTACCAAACTATTTTTTTCAAATTAAGATTTATTTAAAGACAATCTTCTTGAGAAGGATTTAAAATGAGTCTCCTGAACAATAATGCTTCACATTTGCTCTCTGAAATATTTAGAAAAATGACATCTAACAAAGACCAAAAGGTTACCACCTTTTGGTCGGAATACCACCAAATCACATATGCCCAACCCCATGAGTTACTTCTTAAATACATTCTTATCTTATCGTACGAGTTTCTAATATAATAGGAAAAAAATCAATCAATAAACAAAACAAAATCTCAAGAATTCCAGGCAAGCCTTCATAAGCTAAATTTGTGATCCAAGTCAAGCTGCTGGTCACATGAATTAAACTAATCCAAATTAACTCAATTTTGTCTCTTTTCTACCAGACAGATAGTATAGAAAGAGTATGGGATTGAACAGTTAGAATATCTGGTTCCACCTCTTGCTGTTTGTCTTTAAGCGTGTCAGTTTGCTTCTCTGAACATGAGTTCCTCATCTGCAAAATGGTAACATATCTTACCTCACAGGACTGCTGGGCAGATAAAAGTAAAAACTAGACATTTAAAGGTCTTTATAAAGCACAAGTGCTATACAAATGACAGCTGCTGTTATTATTCCAAATCGCTCCTTATGCACTGGGTTTAGTCAGGTAACAGCTGTAAGCAGTGGTGTTCTGGAACCTACTCTGATCAGAAACCTGTGGGATGAGATCTGCCACACAGTACCAGAAACACTGGCAAATGAGGTGAGCAAGGCATGGGGACAGGGTCTCCTGGATGCCCATTTTCCATCACCTTATGAGCATCCCAGGCCTAAAAACTTGGAAAGTGGTATGTTTACCCTCCTGGGTCTACTCAACACCCTGCAAAGGCAAAGAGGCAAGGAACTTTTGGTAATACAGCCTAATGGGAAAACTTCCATTAAGTTGTAATAATATCAGCTTATGCCTCCAGGAGTACTTTGAAAAATCACCCAAATCTTATTCAAATGATTGCTCCTATTTCTCAGTGTGAGGCAAGACCACCAAATGAAAAGCAATTTCATCTAATTAAGCAGTTTTCCCTCCAGTTCTCTCTGTTCCGATCATTTACTCTGACATAGCCACATAAAGATCTCCCTTCCTTTCCCTCACTCCATGAAGAGATGTCATTCCAGGCCCTACACTGTCTTATTGGTTGATTCATGTCCATACCAAACTCACCCCACCCAGTACAAATGAAGCCACTGTGTACCATAAATCTCACCAAAGAAAGGGCCACTAGTGGTAGAGACAGAAAGCACTGCTGCCGCTCTGCTGACACTGGACAGAAACACAAAGTCTGTTCCTAAGACTTACACTTTGAGCCCAGGTGAATCTTCTGTGTAGAATCGCCACATGCCCCCGGTGCCTGCTGAGGTCGTGCGGCCTGCGCTCCTTGTTCCGCAGCTGGCATTTTTTCTGTAAAAGAGGAAAATGTTACAAATGGCCCTTTTTTAGAAATCCTTACAATAGCATTATAACATATGTTACCACTTATACTGTAAAGAACCAATAGAAAGAAAAACTTTTTCTTTGCTAGTACCCACACAAATTCCTGCTTTACTCCTCTGATCATGACAACCACGATGAACTAAGTACCTGCCAGAAGCCAATGCATACCACAATCCTGAAATGCAGTTACTATTTCCATTTTATAAAGTAGGAAAATTAGTCTCAGAAAAGGTTAAGCAAAGTGCCTAAGACAGCACAACCAGCAAGTGGCCAAGCTAGGATATGGACCTATTCTGAACCCAGAGCCCATCCACTTCCCTACAACATCTGGCCACTTCACTTGGACAGTGCATTCCATTTTCTCTTCCCATGTATTTTTGTGAAGCCAAGTGGTAAACCCTGTATAAAAATGCCCTGAATCCATATAATCTGATCTTAAAATGACTACTTTAAAAGATGTGTTTTAAAATTAACTGCAAAAGAGACAAAAAAAAAACTTTAAGCTTTAATTGTACCCAGGTCCTAATATACATTTACATTAAAAATTACTTTGTAATCTGTTTTCACTGTTTTGACATAGTGACCATAGATCTTGCAGAGAGGGAGGATTTGAAAAAAATGCAGAGAACACTCAATCAGAACTTGTCCCCCACAAGGGGATCAAAGCTCATGAGATGAGCTGTATGATACAGGTAACCCTAGTGAACAGAAGCAGCCTAACAGCACTTACTCTGTTGAACAGAGAAGCCCTCAGTCACTGGGGAACTATCCTCCCACTCAGTACTTCCCCAATCCCGGCTGCTCATCTCATCCCATCGCTAGAGTGGGATGACATGGGGCAAGTAATAAGTGGAGAGAAGTCAGAAGCAATCTTCTTTAGCCCACTTATTACCAACTCAGAAATCCTAGGTGGAGAGGAGAGATGCTCCCACCACTAATCAAATCCCATCCTAATATCTGTCGGTTGGTGATTCTGAGATTCTGAAAAAGGGAAGTGCACACAGGAAAGAAATGGAAGTGAAAACTCTATCCTCACCATCTCCTCTTGCTTTCCTCCTAACTCTAGTCCTAGTGCCCACCTCACCCAGCCATGGCGTTTACACCACACTCGGAATGCAAAAAGCAGTCTATAGCTTCTTGGCTCTAGTTGGTGTTCCAGCAGAAAAAGCTGTGTTCATGCCAGAACTTTGAAAGCAATCAGTGTCAATGAATTGGGTTGACTGTACTATAAGGATTACACTTCAGACACATTAATTATGGGCTACATGGTAGCCTGGGAACTTCATTGTATGACTGTTTCTATGGGAAAACTAATTGTAAAAGGCAAACATAACTGTACAGGGATTTACAGAGTAATTCATGCACTTAGAAAAGCTTTCACACACAGATACATATCATCTGTGGAGTAGGTACCTGAAAGTTTTCTTTGTTCATAAAAAAGAACTGGAAGAGTTCTTCTGAGCTGGAAGATAAACCTAGTGTGGACATGCTAAGTCATGGGCTGAGGCAGGACTTAGATTCACATACTTTCTACTATTCCACAATCTCCCACCTCCAGTTTCTGACTTCAGAGTCTCCTGGAATTACAGGAGTCCCAGAGGTACCAGGCTGGCCTCTTTTAAGATTTCTTATTTCTTTGAGCAGAAACTCAGAGAAGAAATAAAAAAAAAAAGATTTCTAACTTCTGATGGCACATGGGACATAGCAGAGGATTTAATAACCTTGGCACCCCCAAGAAATACCAAAATGTACTAAAAATATCTCCCATCCCCTAGGGGCAGCTAGGTAAAGGTTAACAGAGCCCACTTCAATATCTCAAATTTCTACTTGGGGTCTATTTTGCCCTTTCTTTCAGGCCACTGTATAACTGCCTCCCTCTTCCCATACCTCAACACAATGGTTTTCGTAACTAACTGTTTACATACTTTGTTCTAATGTGATGACCTTTGGTTGTTCCTCAAAGCCAAGCTCATTGACTTCAAAATCTTTACACTTAACTATTCCTTCTGCCTAGGAAGCCTATTCCTCCCCACATCACTGCATGATTTGTGCCCTTGCGTCTTTCAAGTCTCTAATCAAATGTCATCTACTCTGAACACCTTATCTAAAATAACTACCTATCCTCACCCTATCCCCACTGCTCTCTACCCCCCACCCAGCTACATTTTTCTTTTACATTTACTTATTTGTAAATTTACTTATTACATTTACTTATTTTCCTTGCTTATGGTCTTCCACACAGGAGTATAAGGGTCATGAGGGCAAACCCTGCCTATCTTGTTCACAGATACATCCTCAGAGCTGAAACAGCACTCAGCATGTAGTAGACACCCAATAACTATATGATGACTATCCTAACATCCCTGGCTATTCCACCATCTTAATATCCCTAATTCCCATTAATCCTTCTAGAATACCATGTAATAAGCACTTCACAACTTTATAGTTTACAAAGCTCCTTTTCATCCTTAAAACAACTTCCTTGTACATTGTATTTAGCAGAGCAACGACTCCAACCCCAGCCTTATCTTAAAGCCCACATTGTTTCTTTCCAATGGTACTGACTCTATTACCTCACTGACCATGAAGAATGCAAATCTGCAGACTACATAATCCAAAATATTATTATTAATCATTAGTTTCAATGTTTTCTCAAAGACATACAAAGCAAAGATATATTCTTTGACAACCAATACTTATTACATTACACTTGTGAAATACTACTTAACCACTGCCAAAATTAAGAAGAAAACACTGTCAGGTCTTTCAACACATACAACCATGGCCTGTCTAGTGACACTGGCTCCATCATACTGAATCCTAAAAGATGACATCAATACTCACAACTTTAAAAGCTACATCTGTCCTCAAATGTTTTAAGTTCTCCACTTCACTTATGCATTATGTATCTCACTTTTATTATTAAATATGTTTTATTATTATATTATTTTATTATTAATTATTTATTTAATAAATTAAATAACTTATTTTATTAAATAAGTTATGTCATTATTATATGTACATTTCATAAATATGTGCTTTCTCTTTTTTGTTTTCTTTAGGAATTCTCAGATGGCCAAACTTCCCTGCCAGAGTACTACCAATTCTCATTAACCAGACCCATTCCTCACTGTACCCACAGGACATGTTTTCCATCGCTGCACAAAGAATCTTTGGAGTCCAGTGTGGGAATGGGACAGCACTCCAAGTCCATATAACCTAACCCACAGCTTGATGATACACTTCTCTTGAACATCTCAGTGACAGAGAACTCACAAGTGTTAAGGATAATCTTACCATTTCTGACAGGTCTAGTCACTCCTGCTGTTTGCAAAGTCAGAAAAGACCTCAAGAGGAAATAACCCAGAGCTTAGTCTTGGAAAATAAATAGAAAATTCGCTTGAGGTGGGGGAGAAAGTTAGTGAGTACAAAAAACAGTAATAAGTTCACTGTTGCTAGATCACAGGAGAGAGGGAAGAGAGAGGTTAGCCTGAAACAACCATCAGGAGCTTTGGTATTCCACCCTAACCCCTCTTTTTTTTAAGTTCAGCAACAAGCAAGTAACAGAAAAACTAAGCAGGAGAGTAACAGCAGAATGAAAGATGGATTGAAATGGAAATGGCCTGGAGAGAAGAATTAGATAGCAAATGCAGAAGTAAATGAGTGGTTGAGGGTAAAGCTGGGGTAGTAGAAATGGAATAGGAAAGACGTGATGAGAAGCTTTTTGTGTAGAATTTAAAGTTTGGCATATGGGTAGATAAAGCACATAAGAAAAATCCAAGATGATGAAGTTTCTGACACTGGGTGAAGGAGTGTACAGTAGTGCCATATGGAAGTAAAAAGATATAACTGGAAACGGGGGAGCTGGAAACTGGAGTGAAAGGAGGTTTGTTAGGTTGTGTATGGGGCCTCCAGATGGATATATAAGTGTAAAGCTCACAGCTAGAGACATTGGTTTAATGACATGAGTTTTATCAAAGTTGTCTCTGACCCTATTCCAGTTAACTTTCCTTTTTTAAGAGTGGTGCCTGAAATCGAGCAACGAGAAGAAAATGTCGCCTTCCTTCCAAAATGCCTTTATTCCCACAGCCACGTCACCAGAAGCTCATTTTGCCCTTCTGAATCTTTTTTTTTTGTTTTTTGGTAGGGTACAGGGTCTCACTCTGTGGCCCCGGCTAGAGTGCAATGGCGTCATCGACCTAAAACTCCTGGGCTCAAGCGATCCTCCTGCCTCAGTCTCCCGAGTTGCTGAGATTATAGGCGTGCAACACCACGCCCAGCTAATTTTCCCATTTTTGTACAGGATACGTGGTCTCTCTCTTGCTCAGCTGATCTCAAACTCCTAACCTTAAGCAATCCGTCTGTTTGGCCTCCCAAAGTGCTAGGATTACAAGCGTCAGCCACCGCGCCGGGCCCCTTGTGAACCTTAATACACTAGGGTCTCCTCTCCAGAACTAGCTAAATCTCGTGCTCCATCTCTCCGAGCCCGCAACCGAACCGGGGCAGGGATCTTTACCTTTGCCGGACAGTGGATCCTGCCGCCCGGGCGGCCACTGCTTTGCTGGGAGAGCGCCCTGAAGAACCCACGTTAGTGCCACTGGGGGTCGGACCAGGCTGTAGAGGAAGACAAGGAGAAAGACGGCTGAGCCCCTCGGGCCTACCCCTACACCCCCGGCCCTGACGGCCGAGTCCGACGCCCGCACGGGAAGCTGGGGAAATCGAGGGAGGAAGGGCGCCTGGAAGAGGCGGGGATCAAGGAGGGGAGGCTGGGGCTGCCATACCATGGTGGAGACTGGAGGGTGCCAGGGCGCTGTGATGGACCGCCAGAAAGTTTCGGAGCCTCTAAAGGACCGGTAGCTGCAGAGACTGGCTCAAGCCCCGCCCCCAGACCAGAGGCCGGGTCCTCGCTGGCTCCAGGGACGCCTGGGTTGTCCCACAATATGCCTGTAGATATTCTGCTATAGGCGACTTGGTTAGCTGCTATGTGGAAAGTACAGACCTTCTATCTCCTTCGTTTGGATCACAATGTCCTTTATAGAGTCTTGCCCTATCAAAGGGAGGATGTAACCAGGGTCAGACGAGAAATTTTCTCAGGCAATTACTAGGCGCCCACAGATTTGCGCTGATGTGGCCTAGCTGAGGCACGCTCGGCGGACGGGGTTAGCCCGCAGTGGCCAGCTGGGAGCCGGGGGCGGAGCTTGCGCGGAAGACCCGCCTCAGCGCGCTGGGCGCAGGCGCGGCTCCCGGGCCATGGCGGAGAAACGGGACCGGGACCTGGACCCGGTTCCCAAGCCGTCGGTGCTGTTCCTGCACCCGGACCTGGGCGTGGGCGGCGCCGAGCGGCTGGTGCTGGACGCGGCACTGGCGCTGCAGGCGCGCGGATGCAGCGTGAAGATCTGGACAGCGCACTATGACCCGAGCCACTGCTTCGCCGAGAGCCGCGAGCTGCAGGTGCACTGCGCCGGGGACTGGCTGCCGCGCGGCCTGGGCTGGGGCGGCCGCGGCGCCGCGGTCTGCGCCTACGTGCGCATGGTCTTCCTGGCGCTGTACGTGCTGTTCCTCGCGGACGAGGAGTTCGACGTGGTCGTGTGCGACCAGGTGAGGCGGTGCGCGAGTGCGGACCTTCCTGTGCAGGGCGTGCCGCAGGCTTGACCTCTGAGGCAGGACCTCGCCCGTGTGCAGCTCGGAAAGATCGGAGCTGACCCGGAGCAGTCAGGGCCGGGAGCGAGCCTGGGGTTCTCTAACTTTAGCGTGGACCCGGTGAAGCTGCAGGTTGAAGCCCCGCCCCCACCCCGGAAGTTTTTATCGTGGAGCCCGGAGGTGGGGCAAAAAACCTGCAGTTTTAACTGCATCTTCGGGTGATTCTGAAGCTGATATGGGCCTTAGGGATCGCTTTAAGAAACGCTAGCGTTGGAAGTCAGCTTCGGTCACCTTTTGATTGAGTAACTCATGTGTTCTTCCTGTACCAACATATGTGTGGTTTTTTGTAGGTATATCTTCTTATTTGTACACAATTGGAATTATGAATACCTACTATTGGGCACTTTGCTTTTTCCAGCAAAAATTTCTATGTGGGATATCCTTATATATCAATATTAGAGACTCACTTCATTCTTTATTGTGGCTGGAAAATCCAGTTTAGTTTAAATGTACTATGATTTAAACATTCTTCTATTAAAGACACTAATGTTGTAACTCGTTTTTTGTGAATAGATTAGCATTATAATGAACATCCTTGTACTTCATTTTTTTGTAATTCTGCAAACATGTCCTTTGAGTAAATTATCCTAAAGTTAGTGAATCACAGAGTTGTTCATTTTAAATGTCAATAGCTATTGCCAAATTTGCCATTGAAAGAGGTTATGTCACTTTACACTCCTACAACGTATGATAGACCCTGTTACTCCAGGCTTTTGTCCCATTGGATATTATCAACCATTTTAATCTTTGCTAAACTGATAGATGGAAATGGCATCATGTTTGTATATGTGTTTCTTTAATTATGACTCGAGTTATTTTTGATCATCTATGCTTGTGTGGAAGCTTTCATTTTAAGTAATGTGGACATTTACCAAACATCCTGTATGTGTCAGTAAGCACAAGGCAGGTGAGACTGTACTGGGTAGAGAAAAAATTCTGGGCTTGAAGTAGGAGACCTGGATTCAAGTTCTGTATCTGCTGCTTTAACTAAGTCACTTTGAATAAATTATACATTATCCCTAAAGCTTACCTTCAGGTGTTAATTAAGTGAGCTGGGAATTAAGTGACTTGTAAAGATTACTGAACAAGGAAGTCTGTATTGATGCCAGCATGTATTAATATTTCATGGTCAGTTATGACTGTAGTTAGTATTTATGTGCTAAACTCCAAGCATTTTACATATATCAGTGCATTTAATAGTCATAAAAATTATATGGATTTGTTTGAACTATAATTGTCACCATATTGCAGAAGAGGAAACTGAGGCCCAGAAGGGGGTAAATTACTTGATCACACAGAGCTGAAATTCAAACCCTGCCAATCTTGACTCCAGAGCTTGTGCTCTAAACTACTACACTTCATTCATTCCAGTTACGTAGGAAGAGAAAGATCCTGAAGCTACATCTGTCCAATACAGTAGCCACTAGTCACATGTGGCTGTTGAGCACATGAAATGTGGCTAGTCTGAACTGAGATCTGCTGAAGTATAAAATATGAACATGATTTTGAAGATTTAATGTGAAAAAAAGAACATAAATATCTCTTTAATATCTTTTAGTATTGATTACATTTTGACATAATGATTTAGATAAAATGTATTAAAATTAATTTCACTCTTATAACATGTTTAATGTTACTAGATTTTTATTTTATTTCTATTGGACAGCACTGTACAAGAGGAAACACTGGACTTTAAGCTTTAAATGTTTAGCACACATCTAGCAAACGTCTACCAACCTGCTATACACAGGCATTGTGTGAGTGAGAGTCTGGGGGAACAAAACAGAATCAGACATTGTCCCTGAGGAGCCCATAGACGAGTAGACAGGGTGGGTGTCTGTGCTTTTGGTTGCATTGAAGTTAAGTTGACCAGTCACTTTGTGTGCTGTTATTTTTTGCTTTGCCTAGGTGTCTGCCTGTATCCCCGTGTTCAGGCTGGCCAGACGGCGTAAGAAGATCCTGTTTTACTGTCACTTCCCAGATCTGCTTCTCACCAAGAGAGATTCTTTTCTTAAACGGCTGTATAGGGCCCCGATTGACTGGATAGAGGAATACACCACAGGCATGGCAGACTGCATCTTGGTCAACAGCCAGTTCACAGCTGCTGTTTTTAAGGAAACATTCAAGTCCCTGTCTCACATAGACCCTGACATCCTCTACCCATCTCTGAATGTCACCAGCTTTGACTCAGCTGTTCCTGAAAAGCTTGATGACCTAGTCCCCAAGGGAAAAAAATTTCTGTTCCTCTCCATCAACAGATATGAAAGGAAGAAAAATCTGACTTTGGCACTGGAAGCCCTAGTGCAGCTGCGTGGAAGACTGACATCCCAAGATTGGGAGAGGGTTCATCTGATCATGGCAGGTGGTTATGATGAGAGAGTCCTAGAGAATGTGGAACACTATCAAGAGTTGAAGAAAATGGTCCACCAGTCTGACCTTGACCAGTATGTAACCTTCCTGAGGTCCTTCTCAGACAAACAGAAAATCTCACTCCTCCATGGCTGCACATGTGTGCTTTACACACCGAGCAATGAGCACTTTGGCATCGTCCCTCTGGAGGCCATGTACATGCAGTGCCCAGTCATTGCTGTTAATTCGGGTGGGCCCTTAGAGTCCATCGTCCACAGTGTCACAGGGTTTCTGTGTGAGCCTGACCCATTGCACTTCTCAGAAGCAATAGAAAAGTTCATCCATGAACCTTCCTTAAAAACCACGATGGGCCTGGCTGGAAGAGCCAGGGTGAAGGAAAAGTTTTCCCCTGAAGCATTTACAGAACAGCTCTACCATTATGTCACCAAACTACTAGTATAATCAGATTTCTTTAAAAATGTTTATACTACATTCATTTATGTCCTTTTTATGGATTGTAAGCCCAGTTTTGAAACCAAAAAACCTAGAATCTAGTGCAGAAGAGATTTAAAAAAAATAAACTTAAGTCTTGAATCTGAGCCACCTTGCTATATACCATACCTCCCTGTCTGCTTTTTCAGAAAAATAGTATTTTTTATGCTGTAATCATTCCGAGTCTTACCAGTGTTAAGTTATAAATATGGTACAATTCCATGTCCAGCAGACTATTTTCATTATATTTTCTCTGTATTATTATTCCTCTGCCTGTAAATTTTGAATGATCTTGTGCCTTAATTGGTTTTGATAGTTTAAATGTATCATTATCAAGGTTGATTAATTTGGCTTCATAGCATAATAAGAACAAGGTTACTGTAGTTCCCAAAATCAACCCACTGAAGTGTTCACTGTCATGTGTTAGGAAACTTTTTGTTAGTCATACCTTTGCCTGGATCTATAGCAAAAGAACTCTGTTTTTTTTTTTTTTCAAAGAACGATTTATTGTATTTTTGTACACCGACACATAACAATAAAACATCTTTATCATAGAGACAGAAAAATATATTAGATTTTGGTCTCCATGATCTATTTTGGTATTGTTGGGAACCTACCTGGAGCCTACCTTTGACAGCCAAACCTGGAGTCAGAAAAGTAAATTGGATATTAAAATGAAGTGGGAATATTGTTACACATGCAGTGTACATCTTGTTTCTTAATGTCATCTAGGTCATCAGTTTTATTAATATTTGTGTTGTCTTGACTAAGCTCCTACAAAGTATAGGACACAATGTTTTTATCCTTCAAGGCCTGGCTCAAATGCCACTGCTGTGACATTTTGCCCCTCTGGCTACCTCCCAAACTAGAACTGATCGTCCCCTTCTGTATACTCTAGCTCTTTTGTGACATTGACAAGTCTTATAGTTCCTTATTACCTGTTGGCCTAAGTACCAATGATAAAGTAGTTTCAGACATAACTTTAAAGCTAAGTTCATTTAAAAATAGTAAAGATCACTAGCCAAAGGCTCCACGTCAATTAACTAAGAGCACAGACTTGAGAGCCTAATGGCCTATATGATCTTGGGTAAACTAATCTCTGTGCCTTGTCTTCACCTGTAAAGTGGGATAATTGTATTATTATTCTTTCCTTATAGGATTGTTAGGACACATTGTGACAATATATATCAAGTACTTAAAACAGTACTTGGCACATAGTACATAAATGATAGCTATTACTGTTTTGCAGTTTAGGGATATTGCACATTATTAGTTCCATGTGGGTACATGCTACACTACCGTATTGTTCTTTGGGGTTCTTTAGAGTTCGGTCCCCAACCTTTTTGGCACCATGGACCGGTTTCATGGAAGACAATTTTTTCCACAGGACCAGCACTAGAGTATGGAGCAATGGGGAGTGACTGTAAATACACCTCCTGCTCTGTGGGCCTGCCCGCCCCCACCTTCCTCAGTTTCATGGAAGACAATTTTTCCATGGACATGGGGGGGTATAGAGGGTGTTGGAGCTCTGCAGCCCAGTCCCCAACAGGCCACAAACCAGTACTGGTCCACAGCCCAGAGGTTGGGGACCGCAGCTTTAGGGA